CATGTACTTATTTCTCTCACCTACAAAGCCGCCTACAGAGCTTCAGATGTCTACTGCATAAAACTGCTAGAATTTGGCAAGACAAGTGTCATCCTAGGTGCCAGTTGTATTAATGTAGTTGAGTTTAGCAAGGACAGCAGAAGTTAGTTAACTTCTTAACAGCTGTTTGCAAATTACCAACAGACTAAAGCTACAAAAAAATTCCATCCAAGTATCTTCTGAGCAGTCATATACACATCAGTCATGAAACAGCACTGTTGAACAGAGCTAAGAGCTCTAGGATACGTGTGGTTTACATACAAGAACACAAAACGATTCTAGGAAATCCACTAGAAAGTCTGCATCACAAGACTATGCCATAGGGAGATATTATCATCTGAAGAGTTCATCAGAAGCTTTCCTCATCATATGTGTCAGTTGTTGTGCAAGTCAAGGACACTTTTCCAGCTTGTTTTCTCTCTTGCTTAGAATATGAATAACAGGTTTGCATATCCTAATTTGAGCTACATTGTTATTCAGAATTGTTTTAAGACACTTCTCTAAGTGATTCCTGACAGCATCATCTTTTAGATCAGCACCAAGTGCAAGCCAGCTAAGAAAACAGCCAGCTTGACCTACTAAGTATTGTGATGACTGCATGGAAATAGGTTTCCCTTAACTAACAATTCACATACAGAAAGACTCTATGTGAAAGCCTTTACAAAGGGTTTGCATCAAAAAGTCTTCACTATTATTCTAAACCTGTACAAGCACTGCTAACATTCATGCCCAGGAGAGCAGTTATTTTTATGGAATCCTATTTCAATTAGATTGCTATACTTAGTGTTCTTACAAGGTCTGGATATCTGATCTCTGTTCCAGCTGATATGCCTTGGACCTGAGAGTAGGAAGGAGAAGCAAATATGAACATTTACACTTGCAGGGTGGCCTAAAGCTCAGACCTACTAGATCCTTAAGTGAAAGATCTTGCCAAGACCAGTCTACTGACAGATATCCACATATCACTGAAAACTGAAGCACAGAGCAGGTGCAGCATGGTGATAGCACAGGCCTGCATGTGAAGTGTTACCCAGATTCTGTTCCCATATGTTGGGACAAAAAGCAGACAGCGCGAGTTTCAAGAGTCACATGCCCTCTTCCTCACCCAAGCCACCTGCTCTTCCTTCTCCAGGCACCTAACTTTGCACGCTCATTTTAGTATTCAGTCAGTTCATACTTTCAGAACAGCAGCCACCTTTCAGTTCCACTTCATTAGGACCCAACCTCTACACTGGAAGCAAAATGCTGTATTTTAGATCAAAACAGAGGCTGCATTAAACACATCAGAGGAAGAAAATTTAGCAGAATGCCTATTTGAGGCAAACAGGTTCTACCTACATAGTTCACTTATTGCCAAACTGTTTAGAATAGCACTTTGGGGGAACTAAACAACAACTTGTATCAACCACAGAAGGGACCAAGTAATCCTGTCTTAGTTGAATATGCATGTTCCATTCCAAGTCTTTCTTGCTTTTAAAAAAAATCACAAAGAGATACAGAAGAGTGAAGGCAGAATCAGTTATAATTACAACATGCGGTTTTATTTGAAGGCTATTCACTCTACTTGATTTATCCCAGATCAGCTTCTCAAACAAAACAAAAACAAAATAATTTATAGCAAATCAACAAATCCTTACAGTTTACAGTTCTGCAGCAGGTAATTCTTTAATACTAAAGTTGGAATCACCATCAATCACACAAGGCAAGACATTTTAGCAGGATTTGGGTGATTTAGCATCTCTAAATAAAGATCTTGCCAATAAAGCAGAAATTCTTCTAATGAAAGTATTTTCTCAATAGGTACTAAGGTTGCTGCTGGAGATCCTGTGAAATAAGGAGCATTCTCCCATTCCACTATTCTCTACAGAACAGAAAGAAATCACTTTACTGTCAGATCCAGATATGTCCATACTTTGGTGTAACTTACAATGCCTTCTTCGGGGGGAGCAGAGAAGGAAAGAACACATAATTTATGGGAAGCTTGGTTCTTTCCCTGAAAGATTAGTAAGCTGACCTAGCCAAAGCCAATTGGCTGTGACTATAGCTACCCCATCAAGGAATAAGCTTATGAAGCAGGTTATTATTGCTTCATCCTGTTCAAGCAACTGGTTGAGTCATCAAGCCCCTCCATTCTGAGGTTTAACTAAACCTCACTTTCGAAAACTGCCAGCACCCCTGAATTTTTGCTCTTGTGACTGCTGTCATAAATAGTCTTTCTTCAAAGAAGCAGATTTCAGCTTATTTCTGCAAGAAGAACATTGGAAGAACTAACGTGTGCAGCTAGTAAAGTTTGCCACAAGTTACATCCATTGTTATTTGCAGTGCAACAGAAATTCGGGCTGCTTGAACTGCTCAGACTCTAGTCACTATAACAAGGCATGTGTTTTAGCAATGATATTATCTATAAAGTCAGCGTGAGCAAGGTAGCTTTGATGATTCTGTCAACACATCTTCACAAGAAACAGGATTCTCTTATCTGCTATAATAGGGCTCTACACTTCAACAGTGTTAAGATGAGCAGTACACACATGCTGTATCTAAGCATCTCAAAAAGCATCAATGAAGATTGATGGTTATCCAAACATATGAAAGAGTCCTTTAAAAAAAAAAATACATGGGGGGTGTTATAGCATTTTAAGTGATATTGAAATTAAGTTTGACATGTGCAGGACCTTGGAGTCTTAACTATTCAGGATAATGCAGAATATTACTGACCATACAAACAGACCTCTCCAAGGAAGCTAGTAGGCAGACTAGTATCAACTTAATATTTCAGATCAGTGCCACTCAAATTATTATCTTGTAGACAAACCTACTATAAGCCAGTACTCAACCATAAACAAAGGCTTCTTATATCACCAGTCACTCAAGAGATATGCCACCTCAGCTTCGATCTATAAAGTGATCCTAATTCCGTAATTCCCTCAGAATTCACTACTCAAATATTTTAAAAGTAAATCCTATGTAATTGCCAGAAATTCAACTAGCTCAACATTACACTGCAAGATTTTTCCACACAAGGAAGTAAAAACTGAACCGTCACATTAAGTATTTAATACAGTTTTCCAACTTGTTTGATTTTTAATTAGACATTTTTGCTTTGAAGTGGGAGCTGTATACACTTAAAGCTGAAATAATGCCATGTTTCTCATATTTGAGAAAAACATTAATGTGGGTTTTCCTCTATCGTAAGTTGGGGAATATTTACAACATTGTACAACTTCGGCCAACACATGGTTATTCCCTTGTTCTCAGTGATCCATGTTTATGTTAGAGGACTCGCACTTCTGGTTCCGCTGTGCGCTACCAACTTAACTGCATCCTCCCTACATGATTTTGCTGGTCAAACTAGACAAGTCTGCCTACTCTAACAAGTATCTGTGTCAGCAAGGATCTGGCAGAAAGATGAAATAAAAGCATTCAGAGAAATGCTTCAGTCTGCAAAACCCTTGGGCTTGACAGCTCTAGAGACTGGAAAAGAAGCTTTACAGTCTCAGTTGTCTCCTGCCTCTTTTTAAAGAGCATAAAGTTTTGGGGCTGTACAGAGAGTACAGTTTATCCTCCCCCCACCTCCCTTGGGAGTTGAACTCTGCTAATCTAGTGCTATACTAATCTACGTACTTGCTGTTGACTTTTTTGGGAAGTTCAGAGGCACTATATTCTTTTAGTTTTTCCTGCACCTTACCCATAAGAAGAAACGGACAAATCACGGCTTCTATTTCACATCATTACCAATCCACAATAAAGTACCTTTCTCCTTAAAAAAAACACCACCACATCTGTAAGAACAAATATGACAAATATGTTTATTGAATATTAAGATATTTCCAGATGTTGCTAGAGCTTACAATTAAGCTGATTTGAGAGGGCAGAGCCATTTAGCTTCACAGATATCCACAGAGCAGAACCTCCCTTCAGCCCTAGCTAGTTAAGACTAGCACTCTGACTGGCTTTAGTAGTCAGAGATCCCCACTCACCACTTCCTTTAAACACTTAAAAGAAAACAAATAAAAACTACCCAAAGTTCTATCTTGATTTGAACTGTTCTTGTGCCTAAATGGGGGTAAACACATGTCAATATAAAACCAGCAACTATACTAATTCCTTGGTGATATAGCTCAATATTTCATTAGCACTGTGAAGCTACTTAGTATTTGGGGGGAAAAAAAAACAAACACCAAAACAAAAAACAACCCGCAACTAACTAGAAGTTGTATTTTGTGACTATCATTTAATATCCCTTCTCTTAGAGCATTACCAACATCCAGAACATGCCACTTAAGTTGACAAGCACATTGTATATATGGTGCTGTGGTACTAGTTACCTGTTCCAAGTTACAATACAAGCCAGGTTGCTCCAGAAAAAATAGAAGTCTGTCTTCATACACTTATTGGAGCAACCTGGAACTACGTTGTCAAGTTTTGTTCTGTGTTTTGATAAGTCCCTTGGTTTTAAGTCTCAATGACAACCAAGAAGACTTACCAGCTGACCTTCACTTTAACAAAGTCTTCAAGAATTAAAACAACCCATTAAAGTGCTACATGCCATAGACACCTATTTTCCCCATAATGCCTTTATTAAGAACCAAAGCATAAAGGAGACAAAATAGGTAACTGTTCCAAGAACTACTGTTCTACATTCCTTTCTCCTCCTGTCATTGTTTTTTTCCTCTTGCCATCGCATAGAGCTATCAAGGGTCTCACCCATTAAAGAATTTTTGTACTCCTCAACTGCTCCACCATTATATGGGTTTCAGATTCCCCCTTCAACATCCCTCTGCTTCTGGATGTCTTGCTCCAAGTCTAACAGCTCCAACTTCAGATCTCTTGTGCTTGAATAATGCTAATTTGATGAATAAGTGATCCACAGCAATTAAACTAGTTTAGATCACATAACTCATACCCACTGTCTGTTTGCTGTCCTCCAAAACCCAACCACTAGGTACAACCCAAAGACTCACCACACTTGATACAACACAAAAGCTGCATGTAGCAGAAGGACTGAAGTATCAGCCCACCAGGGGAAAGAATACCACAATGCTGATTTTTGTTCTGAGGTAGAGTAAGTAATGTGGGTGTAAACAAAGGGATACACTGGAGCAGCTGAGACTTGGAAGAAGACAGTCAGCAGTAGGTAAGGAAGATGAGACATCATGAAGCTCAGTCTCTGCATTGCGACTTCAAGTAGCCTGCCATCAGAAAAAGCAATGTCAGAGTCTAGTTTCAGCTCAGTTCAGATGTTGCTTAGGTTATCACATACAGAAGAAACTATTTTCTTTCTCAGATCACTTACTCCAGATAGGACTTTTGAAGAGTTCAAGACTCTTCTTCAGTACTCACCACACACTTAAGTATACACACCCATAATCACTTAATACTGTTTCAATTTTTTTTTAATACACATAAAAGGATACCAAAGGCACTAATATTACTTAAAACACACAAAAAAACACAAAAGAGTTGCAGGTTACATGCAAATGGTTGCAGTACTTCAGTCAATACAGTTGAATCGGTACCAGTAATAGGGGCAACTGGAAAGGCTTACCAATTTTTACCATTACACATGAAGCCTTCAGAAAAGAGCGAGCAGAAAGGTAAACAGAAGTCAACCCCCAAACCTAAGTCGACAAGTCTACTTACATATCCAACCAGCCTGTGCTTACAGAAGGTCTTAAGACCTCACAAGACAAGAAAAAACAAAACTACACAACAGAAGCTGACAGCTAATACTTGTTATCAAGAGGCTTCAGCTAAATGTCAAACTTTCTTTCACAGAGCACAATTAGTTGGTTAAGAGAAATTCCAGACAGCTAAAGAACTATATTAGGTTACCAAATGCTCATTTTTACCAAGTTCGAGCGCAACTATTCTACACTATGGCTTCCCTAGAGGGATCATTTATAGGAAAGAGAAGCTTCACATCAAATCCATTCTGGAGCTCCTGTACTAAGCCTATACCTAGTGTTATTAGCATATCCGAACACACAGACACCTCACTGAATGGCAGTAACAACTTAATGCATTAAGGCATTAAGAGGTGCACGCTTATGTTCAGGAGCACAGCCGCAGTATGTGTGAGATTATATTTTTTTAAAAGGATGTCACCTTGAAGAGGTAAAAAATCCTGTGCTAATAGTTAACTACCCTGAAGTTTCTCAAACTTATCATCAACTAAAACCTGAATATAGTGCCAGAGATGCAAAACACACATCATCTAGCTTGCTATACCTGGTTATGCAACTTCACCTCCTTATTGCTAACAATGTTGTTTTCCACCCTCACGCTTTCGAAGACATTACTGAAGTCTCAGGCTAAAATCCTCCTCCAGGAATGCCAGTGCCACCCACTGACCCCATCCCCTTGTAGGGCTACTCGGCAAACTTCACCCAGCGCTGCATTTGCCCGAGTTTAGGTGCACCTAGCACACGTTTCCTTATCTGGTTACGAAGCAATTTTTACATACGGGACGAAAAAGGCAATGAGATTCGCCCAAGGTGCCGGGCAGACCTGTGCGCTTTCTCGAGGGGTTTACTTTACCCCAGCCGCAGAAACCCAGACGGCAGAGGATGCGGGGGAACATGTGCGAGTGGGGGAGGGAGCGGCGGCAGGCTCCTCGCCGCACCCGGCTGCCGGCTCGTTTCTCTTTAAATCTGGCAGCGAGCGACACATGGAGCTGCATTGTGCGCCCCGCCGCCCGGGCGGCCCCGCGCATGC